GTCATGTTTTTCTGTGGTGATGTGGGCTGGCTGGTGTCAATGTGATTAGGTTTGTAACTGCTGTTTGTTTCTAGAGGGGTGTGACTTACTTTCTAACACTAGGCTGTGGCCCATGTATGTCTTGTTCCTGGGCTGGGTGCACAGGTAGTGCTTTGGGGGGGATCTGCTTCTATAAAAACTGCAGCAGTGGAACCTTATATTTGTGGTTTATAGGGTAATACTAGAAGGTGGAGGAAACCACTTGGTCTAATGGGGGGGGGAGAGAGAAGAGATTTAACAAGAGGGAATAAGTGATAATCAAATAGTACAAGGCCTTGTACTAGCTTCCAATTTCTAATGCCTGTAAAAGCCCCATGTCAGGGGTGGAGAGCCCAGTGACTTCAAATGAACAGGCATAACTGTGATTGTAAGTTTCCTGTGACCAAGTGTTGGTGGGCTGTGAGTCTGCTCTTGCAGCCTAATGTTCGGCTAGTGTGTAACTGGCCAGTCGGTCCACCCTGCCCCAGCTGACTGGAAGTAACCAGACAGGGCTGGCTGTGACCTAGCCTCCTCAGATGCCCTGTTGGAGGACCACAGAGCTAACAAAGGGGGGGAATACAACCCAATGGGTCTCATCTCATGCTATGGTTCCAGCACGGAAGCCTGCTGGTGGGGTTAGTGGTGTTGGCTGGCCAGGGTCAAGCTCAGTGGCCATTGCCGACTCTCTGGATAAAGCTCAGATGAGGCAACCAGTGTCTGGTTCTGTATCATTGGCTAATACAAAGGGTGTGGCATGAATGCACCCATGGGTGGCTGTAGGGTGGAGGGGAGCTCCTAGCTAGGGTGGAAACTAGCCCACTCTGAGGCGAGCCATTGGGAGCTCCGTTCAGAGCCCCTTGCAAGGCAAAGCAGTCACCCTGGGGTCGGGGTTTGGGGAAGTGCCTGCCCCAGGTTGCCTAGGTGGGATGGTTAGAGGGCAAAAGCTCCCGTAGAGCAGGAGGCTTTGTGGTCTCTCTCCTGGGTCTCTGCAGAGCACCGGTCGCGGTAGCAGGCCAGCACGGATGCTCTTGGCTGGGGATCCCCTTTGTGCGCTCGGAGCTATGCCCCCATTCTAATGAAGGCAGCCAGGCCACATCTCGGCAGCTGCACTAACTTGTCTTCTCTTCCACCCTACTCCCCCCCTTGCTCTGGTCGCAGGGAGATGGCAGCGCGGTGGGCCGTGCTGGGGCTCTTGGCTGCCTGCGTGGCCAGTGCTGCGAAGGAATCTGTGCTGAACGTGTGCATGGACGCCAAGCACCACAAAACCAAGCCAGGCCCGGAGGGGGCGCTGCATGGCCAGGTACGGGTCTTGTCCTACTGACACCTCAGTCCCATCCCTGACCACTTGGAGCTTTGGGTGAGGAGTAACTGAGTCACCTGGGCCTGCCGTCCCTTCCAGTGCAGGCTGGTTCCTTACGCCGGGTTCTCTGGGGCCGTGGAGGACTGCCGTGCAGGGAGCTGGAGGTGTTGGCAACGCACCAAGGATTGGGGGTTTCTCTCACAGCCCTAGGAGGCTGAGGCAGGCAGGGTCGTGATGCCAGCGTCCTTAGGCTGGCAATGAGATCAGCTCTCTGGCAGCAGCGAAGTAAGCCATGCAAACCGGGCTACTTCATCCTCCTGAAAAGAGGCCTGTCCCTTGCTGGTGCCCTAGGGAAGGCCTCGGACTGGGGCAGAGGGCCGGGGAGCCAGGACTCCTGGGTTGCCGTCCTAGCTCTGCCACTGATTCTGTGGGCGGACTTGGCTATGTCCCTGTTAACTTCACTGGAATAAACTGGCCCAAGTAGCAAAGGTGTTAACACAGGTACTGGAATTAGGGGTGCAGGGCTGGTTCTGCAGCACCCCCTGACTTGAAGTGGTTTCCATCATATACAGGCCCAGGTATCCAAGGTGTTAACCTCACCCTGTCACTGTCTAGCCCACATTCAAACCCACATTCAAAACACTGTATCCTGGAAAAGGAGTTCTGGGCCAGTATAGCCCATCCCCCTCACTTTGCTCACCGGTTACATGTGTTCTCCATGAACTAATTCAGTTCAGATTTCTAGTCCCATGTTTCTTAACTCAAGGCTCATGTTGAAGTGGTGCCTTGTCACCAGGAGGCTTTTTCATTTGGACAAATTCAGTCTGTCTCCTCTTCGCACCTTCCCCCCCCCCATCCCCACTTACCCAGCATCCCACAGAGGAGATCACAATTGGGGGAGGGGGCTAGATCTGGAGGCCCTAATCAAACATCATTTATCAGCTCGGTGGCTGCCCCTCCTGCCCCCAGTCTGTAGCTTCCCCACTTCACAGCATTTTGTAGTCTTACAGATCTCAAGCACTCTGCAAAAAAGCATCTCTGCCCTTCAATCCCTGGTCCTTAGCCATGGCCCTACCAGTGCTCTGATACCAGAGCAGTCCCACTTGGCACTACTAGAGGCCAGTGATGCTGCTGCATCCACAGCATCCTGTCTGCCCCCCGGGCGAGCTGCCAGTCCCCTGTGTACCCGTCTCTCGCTGTGTTCGCAGTGTGCCCCGTGGAAAGACCACGCCTGCTGCACGGCCGAGACCAGCACGGGGGCTCACCAGGACCAGTCCTACCTGTACAACTTCAACTGGAACCACTGCGGGGTGATGCCAGAGAAGTGCAAGCAGCACTTCATCCAGGACACGTGTCTGTACGAGTGCTCGCCCAACCTGGGGCCCTGGATCGACCAGGTCAGGGGGCGTTGGGGCTGGGCACTGGGGGTGGGAGAGAAGGCTGGCTTAGTGCATGTACTCACGGCTCCCTCTAGTGGCAGGTCCTAGCAGTTCACTCTCTCAAGCACCACACGGAGTTGCTCCTTCAGCTTGAGCAGTCCGGGCTTGTGCTTTCTGTGCCAAAGGCCCCAGGTTCAATTCTCCACTGGCAGCTGGTGTCCCCATATCCAGCCAGGGCCCATTGCATGTGGGCAGGATGATCCCTGCAAAGTGTCCTGAGGTTGGGAGGCTGCACTGAACGGCTCCTTTTCCTTCCCTCCCCAGGCAGTGCCCCTGGGGCCCTGCCATCCCCCCCCTGCTGTCTAGGACTCCAGAGAGCCTGGCCCCAATGCTGAGCTCTGGGGAATGCCCCCAGCTTGGCTGGTCTCTCGTGTTTGCTG